CCACTAAGGTAGAAAAAAACATTTATTTACACTTATTCAATTTGGAGAATTACCTGGATTTGTCTGGATTTGCTGTGTGCATGTTAACTATGTATAGAAAGGCAATAGCTAGAGTAGTAAAAGAGTAATAGCTATGGCTCCCTACTTGAACTGGTAGATCTCGGCACATTGGGCAGACTGTTAACCCTACGTAAAGATTTCCAGACATCTGTTGATTCCAAACTTAGGGCTTCATCTAACATGCTGTGGGGGGTTTTTGTTGCTGTCTGAAAAGCAGATCTTGAGTTAAAATAGGTCGGGCTCCCCTGCTCTAGGACAATAGGTATTCATTTAGCATCCGGGCTCTGCGATTGATTGCCAAACGCTGCCTCCTATACACACATGGTAGGCAAAACCTACCGAGGGCTTCTAAAACTAAACTAAAAATTACATTTATAACTAAACTATGAAGCTCTGAAACTGAAATTAAAATGGCGGAAAAACTGCTAAAACTGAAGCGAAACAAAATTGGGAAAAAAGTATTAAAATTACAACTAAAAAATGGAACTAAAAATACTTTTGACCAATCAGATACAGCCCTGGATACATGGGCCATGCTTCCACACCATTTGGCCAATCAGATGAAGCCCCAATCAGCCATCAGCAATCATGCTAGCTATTCTTGCTGAGGAAGGAGAGTTGAGTGAGGAAAATTTGGTTTACGAAGAGCTATTGTTATTACCCACCATTGACAGCGAGGGAAACCCTTTGGCTTGGTGGAATCACCTACAGGTCATTTATCCAACACTGAGCAAACTAGCTTGGGATTATTTTAGTATATCTGCCACTAGCTCACCCTCAGAGATGCTCTTCGGCACATCAGGGAATGTGACATGTCAATGTACATGTTTGAAACCTAGTAAAATTAACAGGCTGTTTGTGTGTGCGTGTGTATATCTCCAGCAGTGGGCTAGTACCCCTTCCAGGTTGATCGGCTGTCTTGTAATCTGTGCTGCCTGGGATAGAGTGCAGACCCCACTGTGTCCCTCACTGGGATAGATGGATGGATGGATGGATGCATGATTACTCTGTGTGTTTGTTTGAGTGACTTGTCTTTTTTTCAGTATGATGAGAAGCCGAAACCTGGTGACCTAATTGAGATTTTTCGTGGGACGTACAGCCATTGGGCCATGTATGTTGGAGATGATTACGTCGTCCACCTTGCCCCCCCAAGTGAGAACATGGGCCTGTGAAAGCTGCTGTTACATACTTCTGTTTACTCATTCTTCATTGTAGATGTCGTTATCCATTTTTTAATTTGTTTTCGTGGCTTTTCGTCATTCTTCTCACTCACTCTCTCCCAGGCGAGGAAGCTTGTGGTGGCGCCTACAGCATGATGTCTGTTTTGTATGACAAGGCCATTGTGAAGATGGACAATCTGTTGGATGTGGTGGGGACCAGTAAGTTCAGCATCAAAAACCTTCTGGATGATAAATATGAGCCCAGGAGTGTCGGCGAAATACTGAAGGATGCTCGGAGTCTGGTGGGTCAGGAGCTGCCATACTGTGTCTTCCGAGGCAACTGTGAGCATTTTGTGACAGAGCTGAGGTACGGCAAGCCAGAGTCCCGACAGGTGGGTGTCTTATTCAGTGCTTTCTGAGACAATAACACTACTCTTTGTGTGTGTGTGTGTGTGTGTGTGTGTGTGTTTTTTTTTTTTTTAAAAGTCACTTTTTGTTCATTGATTTATTTTCACCAGGAAAATGCTGAGTGATTCTTAAGGCTTGGATTGCCTGGGAGTCATTCTGGTAACAGTGAATTTAGTTCACTGGATATTGTTCTATATTTTGAGTTACCTGTTCAGTCACCTAATTTGAGTATATACACAAGAATCTGTTGGATTAAATGGAACCAGCTATTCAGAGGAGAGATGCAGGTGGCAAACTTTTGAAACCCAGTAAAAATGGCATGTTTTGGTGAATTTTTTTTGTCCCTCCGGCAAATTCATGCTATTCAGGGAACAAAAGAAGATGAACTCACTGTTCGGCTGGGTGTGGTACAGATTTTGCATTCAAAATAATCAAACTTCTGGCAAACTTCATGAAAATCCTTTCTGTAAACTAGTCCAAGTCCAGGCTTATTGCAGAGGATGTGGTTGGTTTGTCTTTGTTCTTGTCAGGTTGAGTTTGATTCTGCTATTTTAGGAAAGCATATGGTGGCTTATAGAATAGGAAATGTAGTGATTGCACTAACCAACAGCCTCTGCTGCCCACAGGTAATCAGAACACCCACCTTTTAAATGCTTATTCTGGTCAGGGATGCATTGTAGTGGGAAGAGTCGTAATTTAGATTTCTGTTATTTGCTGTTAAGTGCTGAGAACAAATTTCCCGTAGATGTAGGGCTGATGTGCAGGAGCTTTAGAAGCCAATGAAGCCACCCCCAGCATAAGCTTCAGACAGGAAGCAGTGCTGGGACTGTGCAAGCAGGAGCCTCTCATCTATAATGTGAATGTAGTTTAGGAACTTGCAGTTCAAAACACACCTTAAGTTTGAGTGACATGTCCATCAACTGAATGCTAAACATTTTTCAGCGCCTTTCAGTTTGATGAACTGTATCGTTCCCAACAGATCTGTATTCGATTTAGAGTTGCATCAGAAGTTATTAAATAAATATTGTTTGTTTGTTTATACTACATACAACATATTGGAAGTTTAGAATGTTAAATGCAATTAACTGTATCTATGCTGTAAAGAAATGTTTGTGACCAAGACTAGAAGCCGAATCTGTCTCAGCTCTCTGTGCATGTCTGTGTGACTCTGCAGGTGCGTAATGCCGTGCAGACGGCTGTAGGAGTGGGAGCTGCTGCGATCGGTGTGGGTCTGCTGGCTGCAGCTGCTGTCGCTATATTTGGTAGCGGGAGGAAAGAGCGGAGGAACAGCCAGTGAGATGAAGCCCGACAGTGAAGGTGGAGGGTCAGCTTAAGCACAGACCTGCACAAACAAAGTGTGCCCCCACCCAGCCTGAATGACATCCTGCTTCCTTACTGCTAACTGCTGAAGTATTTACTGGGAAATCTGTAAATGTGGGTCACTCTCACAACCTTCTCAACTTAAATTGATTTTAATGCACAATGGTAAACTGATAACTGCCAGCAAATGGATGCTGATGTTTTGCCAAGCAGATAAGCTGACATGAGACTAGTGGACTGAGCTTTATTTGATACCATGCAGCACTTGAATAATTTGTACATTTACATTCTAGTCATTAGCTTTGTGCCAAAGATTTTTAAAAGTTATACTCTGCAATAAAGGGTAATTTACATGATGTAATACTTTTTAAAAAACTGAATATTTATTAAAGTAACTTTTGGAACTAATCTGTTAATTTCTTATGGAGAAATTGAAACTTTGATCATTCACTTTATATGACCTGAATGTTTTCTCTTGGTGTTTTATTATTTTCAATAAAAAATAAAGTAACTGCAATAACTGATTCAATTCAATCTTTCAATTCAGTTCTATCTGTATCGTGCATTTTCATAATGCTATATTGTCTCTTATTAAAACTTTATTGTCAATTTCTATGAAATTCCCCTCATCTAATCCCCCCCCAACCTCTGCAATCTCTATAGCCCCCTACACACTCCCCCTACCTTTCCAAAAGTGTACTGTAATAGGTCAGCTTTGTGTGATTTTCTCGCTGTAATCCAATTCACCAGGTGCACATCTGTGGCCGTCATTTCATGTGACACTGGAGTTGGTTCGTTAGTGAAACTCTAACCTTGATATTGATACCAGCAGTACCTCTGTACAAATACTAAATCGATACTCAAACATTCCCATTGAAGAATTATATTGCTTTGATAACACCAGAATTGAAGCAGCGCCACATAGTGGTAGCAAAGGGAAGGCCGGCTCAGAGGCTTGGTCTTGTCAGCTTGATAACTCAAAAATCAGGCTGATCTTTTCCAGACTTTGTTGGCACATTGAATGGGTGAAGATCTGGACCTGATTAAATTTTGAGACCAATCGCACCAAAATGGAAGCAAGACTTGGCACCAGCAAAAAGAAGGATGAGTTGATTAGAGTCTTGTCCATATAAACTGGATGACTGTATTATTAGTACTGCATTTACCCTATTTTTGATGGATCTTAATACTAGGAGTGTATCGATTTGTATCGATATATCAATTCAATGG